ATGACAACTTCTCTCCTAGACAGGAGAGGAAAAATGGTTTCTCATTTAACCTGCTTGCCCCTCACTCTCTGTGCCTCATGAAAACATGAATTATTCTCACTGGCTCACTCTACTGACCTATACTGATTGAATTCCTGTTCTCCTCAAGGTCCATTATTACCACTTCGGTGTTACTTCGGATTAGATCTGTGCGTCACCAGCAACTGTTGGGAAACCATATACATTGTGGAAGTTGTAGATGACTACAACCACACCACAGTGGCCAAGTGGTTCCTGGCAGAAGGGAATATACAAGTCTTACAGTCTACCCCAATGAGACAGTGTGTGAGGACAATGAGAGTCAGGTCCCAGATCCATCCTATCTTAAATGGATAAGCAAGTTAACCTCCCTGAACCTTGGTTTCCTCATCTATGAAATGGCTATAATATATCCTTTTCCTACTTCATAGTGTTGTTCTGAGACTCAAATTAGGACAATAGAAGACAGATCCTTTTAAATAGTCAAGTTCTACCTAGCAGGAGAGATTGACTAGCTGCAGGGATAATAATTACATTGACAAGATGACCTGAATATCAAAGCTGATCTTAATGTGGATAGTCCTCTGCCTCAGGCATTTAGAGGTTTAGCACATACTGGTCCTACCCAGTTGTTAGGGAGTTTGAGGGCCACTTGGTTCTACCTGGTGTAGGGAGAGTTGTGATCTTGAGAAACGAAGCTTTCCTACTTTCCTTTGTTTGAAAATTCTCATTATAAAATGTTAGAAGAACACATAAATGAAATAGAACTCTTTCTTAATTTCACACCAAAGAATTGCTCACCATTAGCATATACCCACCATATAGTCTGTTGAGTTTTTATCACTTAAATAAATAGGCAAGAAAGCCATCTTTTGAAATTTAGCATTCAAAGTCTATTTAGTGCCTCATGTAGACTAGAACCCTTATACAACCTTCTGGGGGAGAGTAAAGGAGCAATTACAACACCCTGCAGGACCTCAAAGGAGGAAGACAACATCTGGGGGGAAAGCAGAGGTATTAAGGTTTCCTGGATGAGGGTGGGGCAGGTAGGCAAACCTGAGGCATTTAGGGGTTGGGGGTGTATGGGAAAAAGAGGCAGGCTTGGGTGGTCAAGGGAAGAGGCAAGAGCATGAGCAAAGCAGATCCATGTCACTGGGAGAGCAGGGGAGCTGGGTCTGTGGAAGCTCAGGATGCTACCTTAGGAATGTCCCCTGTGGAGGACTTATTTTTTTTGTTTGTTTTGTTTTGGTTTTTGGTACTGGGGATTGAATCCAGGAGTGCTTTACCATTGATCTATATCCCCAGCCCTTTTCATTTTTTATCTTGAGAAAGAGTCTCTATAAATTGCTGCAGGTATTGCTAAGGCCCCCAGTCTGGCCTTGAGCTTAGGATTTTCCTGCCTCAGCCTTCGGAGGAGTCACAAGTCAATAGGATTATAGGTGTGTGCCACCTTGCCCAGCTTTGAGCTGTGTTTTGAAAATGAATGTGAAAGCTTTGTGCTCCCTTCTTTCTCCAAACCTCAGGAGCCCGGAGAACCTTTCCCTGGGGATATCAGGATGGAGTCACATTGCAGGAGGATCAGTAATTTAAGAGTCACTAAGTCTGAGGGTGGAGAACCAGTTACAGTAGTGTGAGGAAATCCAGTCTTCTGACCTGTGACTGAGTAGGGCTAATTGGCAGCATGGTGCCTGTGTTTCTAGATCCTGAGCCCAGGTACCTACAACTTGATTAGTAATGAAAGTGGAACTCTGCATTTCTCAAAAAGGCTAATGCTTAACTCTTTTTCCTAGGAGTGTTACTGCCATGTCACATGGAGGCCCATGGTCACTCTTTCTGTTTAAGAAGATTAACCTCACTTAAATTTGCATAATGATTATTCATTCCATAAGCCACTTTATAACAGCATTAGTGGACATCAACATAAAATTCACGAGCAATTCCCTTACCTCAATCAAACAGTTTCCATTGTTGATGGACGTTTTCCATTTAATATGCTTATGGCTTTTCGTGATTTTAATTATAGCACAAATACCATTTTATAATTTTTTAAAGAGAGAGATATATAGAGAATTTTTAATATTTTTTTTTTTAGTTTTCGGTGGATACAACATCTTTATTTTATTTGTATATGGTGCTGAGGATGGAACCCAGTGCCCCATGCATGCCAGGCGAGCATGCTACCGCTTGAGCCACATCCCCAGACCCATACAAATACCATTTTTAAAAGCTTAATATTATAGTATATATATTTCCCAAGTGGCTACATATTTACCTTATTGTTTTTAATAACTATATAATATACTGTGTGGTTTTATTTCTTTTTTCCTTTCCTTTCTTTTCTTCTTCTTTTTTGAGATGGTGTCTTGCCCATCTTGAATTCCTTCAGCCAGACTTGAACCTTGAACTCTTTTGAGTTCAAGGTATTCTCCTGCGGTAGCCTCCCAAGTAGCTGAGACTGTAGGCGTGCGCCACTGTGCCTGGTCACAATGTATACTGTATCCTCACTAGTGCATTGTTGGTGAGACTGCCGACAAGTACAACCATTCTGGAAAAGTATTATGGGGCTTCCTCAACAAACTAGGAATGGAATCACCATATAACTCAGCTATCTCACTTTCTACTATTTATACAAAAATCACAAAAATCAGCATACTATAGTGATGTAACCACCTCAATGTTTACTAGCAGCACAATTCATAATAGCCAAATCATAGAATTGACCCAGATGCCCATCAATAGGTGAATGGATTAAGAACTTGTGGTATACATACACAATGGGGTTGTACTCAGCCACAAAGAATGAAATTATGATACTTTCTGATAAATGGTTGGAAATAGAGAAGTTTGTGCTAAATGAAATAAGCCAGTCTCAGAAAAATCAACGATCAAATGTTTTCTTTCGTATGTGGAAACTAAAGTAAAAGGAAAGAAAGAGAGAAAGATTGGATATCATAAAGACATAGGGAAGATCAGTAGAGTAGAAGAAGGAGATTGAGAGAGAGAAAGAATAGGAAAGGGGAGAAAATATGGATTGAATTTTGAAAAGTTATGCTATGTGCATATATAAATATATCACAGTGAATTTTTACCTCTATGTATAAATAGGAAGTACAATAAAAATAAATAAATATATGAGTGAAAGGGAGATCAATAGAGTAGAGGAAAGAGAATGTGGCGGGGGGGAGAGGGGAAGAAAAAAGTGGTAAAATGTGAACTGAAATTGGATTCCATGCCTGCATGATTTTGTTGGTATGAACCCAACTACTATGTATAACAATAATGCCCTAATTAAAAATATTCTAATTCAAAAAACTAGCCTCAGTTGGGATGCTTTCATTAAAAAATTATTAGTTGTATCTGTTTTAGGGAACTAATACATATGTTGGAAACATTTAATTAAACCTTCTTTACAGCTAACGGCAGACACTTCCTTCTTGCTTCTTCCTGAGGTTGATGTGTAGAAAAGCTGAGGTCAAGGGAATGTTTCAGTGAGATGGCTATTGGGACTGCAAGGAGGGACTGTGGTCTGCAGAATCAAGGAGAAGGGGCTGAAGTCTCCAAGAGAAGTACAAGCACAATGGCATCAACTTCAGGAATTTCTAATTCTGAGTCCTTGATAGGGTGACCAACCTTAGTTGGGTGTCTGAGACTGAGGAATTCCTGGATCTTGAGACTTTAGGGATGAAATCAGGAAAGTCCCCTACAAACTAGAATGATGTCATTCCTCGAAACCATGGCACAAATAAGGAGAAGCAACCTAAAAGGGAATGAATCATTTATAGAGACCAGTCCTGCGTTATAAAAGCAGCAATTTAGAGAAAGCCTGTGCAGGTACTGCAAGGAAGACCTCACCCTTTATGTAGAAGTCAAAACAGATGTCCATCCAGATTACCCTGCTGCTCTAGGAAAACCCATTCATCCATTTATTCAACAAACAAGTACAGAACAGCAGGCATTGTTCCAGGCACAAGACACTTCTGCTGCTCTTCCAGTCCTTCTATTGCTAGTGTGTGGGTGGGACAAGAATAAATGAAAAAACATGAAATAAATGAGAATGGATATGATTGATGCTGTGGCAGGAAAAAAGAAAACATGGACTAATGGAATAGAAACTGCAGGGGGTGGGGTGGGCTACTGGTTGGTCAGGGAAGGTTACTCCAAAGAAACCCGAGGCAAACCAGTGAGAGAAGAGTGGCTACGTCAAGATTCACTGGAAGCATTAGGAGCAGAGGAAGGGAACAGGGTGTTCTAAGGCCTTGAGGGAAACCAGGTAGTCCTTTCTAAAGAACTGAACGAAGGGCTGACCTAGAGGCTTCCCAATATCCTGATCCAAGAGCCATTTTTACAAAGAGGCCTACTTGTTTTGTGGCAGTCCCTTGATTGCTATTCCAGCACAATAGGCCGCTACCATTCCCTATTTGACGGGAGAACTTAATTTTCTGCCCTGGTACAACTGAAAGTAAATAAAAGACAGACATTTATTCAGACGTGATGTGATGTTGGGATTGTTTGTGGACAATCACAAGGACCAAAACATTGACCTTAAGGCAAAGAGAGTAACTTTGAGATCCACATGGACTCCTGTGGTGGAGCCCCGTGTGAGATTCTCTAAGATGTGCTTCCATAAACTCAAGGGAGGACAAATACATATTCTGAGTCCCGTAGAAATTGAAAATGAAACTGGTCAGGAGGTAGACGTCCCCAACCGACCTTTCACCTGTCCGGAACTTGAGAAATAAATAGCCCTAAGAGTGTAAGGGGCAGAGAAGACTGGCAGACAGAAGTGTAGGCATGCCAATTAAAGAAAGGTAGAGAAGGTTGATTCTGATAACTCAAAGAGTTAACACATCCAAAACTAACGCAGGGGTGGGGAGAAAACCACACCCCACGGGAGTGCGGAGCCAACTCGCGGGAGAAAAATCCTATTGGCATTGAGAAGGCAGGGAGCCAGCCCCTGGGCGCGGCCTGCAGGGGGCAGGCGATCGCCCGGGGAAGCGGGGGCAGGAGGAGGCCGGAGCAGGTGCCCGCTCGGCAGCTGCAGGCAGCCGCAGGGAGCCCCAGCTGTGCCTCTGCCGGTGTGCCCTCCTTAGCCCGCGGTCCCCGCGCTGTGTCCCGCCGCTGACATGTGTGCCGCACGGATGCCTCCCCTGGCGCACATCTTCCGAGGGACTTTCGTCCACTCCACCTGGACCTGCCCCATGGAAGTGCTTCGGGATCACCTCCTCGGTGTGAGCGACAGCGGCAAAGTGAGTGGGCACGGGGTCTGGCCACCCGGACGCGCCGGCTGATAGGTGGAGGGAAGCTGGCGCGATGCGCTGCGGACGGAGTCCCGGGTTCGCTCCGCTTGGCTCCGGAGTTGAACTTGAGCGTTTGGCTCTCGGGAACGCAAAGCGAACCCTGACACTCGGTTCACCGGTTGGCTAGGGAGTATCGAGTTTCCGGAAGCCAGGAGCAGTGGGGTAATCCCACCACTTCTGGTTCGACAGCCGTCCAGGTTGCACTAGAAAAAGAGGAGAGCCATCCCCCGACCCACAAATCTTAAGAGATCAGCAATAAACCATAACATTGCTTCATTCATCTTTATATCTCTGGAGACTGGCACAGTACCGGGCACAGGGTAGGCGCATCATGAATTTGGTTTGAATTTATTGTGAAAGAATTAACAGAGGAGGGGTCATTTGATCGCTGTTGATTTGCCCGTTGACTACATAGAATAAGCAAAAGAGCTGATTTCATTCACCGAATCCTTGGCTCAACGCAGAGAATGTACTAATGATACAGGTTAGACAACTTGTAATACTAGAAAGGATAGTCGAAGAGAGATTATCCATCTCCCTGTATCCGCCCCTCCATACACACACACACACACACACAGCCATTTGTATTAAAGCAAGCAGTTCCATTTTAAGGTTCAAAATGTCTTCTATGAGTGTACCTTCTACACTTCTTTTTCCGAAAATCAGAATTTCTACAAATGACATTGGTAACTTAATGTCTGATATTTTCCGTTCTGTACACACAGATGATGACTGCATTAGTAATGGACTAGTCAGTTTAAGTAAAGTCATTCCATTTGAAGGAGAAAAAAGAAAATAAATCCAGGGGTGATATATTTTTGAGCTATTTTCCAACTACTAGTTTGGTTAGCAAAAGTACACATATTTGTGATTTGTCAGATTCAAGCTACGACTAAAGATGTTACTAAATCAGTGACTCTTCTTACATTTGGGGAGAGGGCTAAACCCTATTTTATTATAGTGCTTTAAAAATTATCTGTGCATAACTCAGAAGCTGTTGGGCTTCTGAGGTGATACAGCTCTTAGAGTTCACTTAAATGCAGAGATTGCAGTGAACCCTGAGATTGGTGCTTCCTTGCATGGGGACATGACCCTCAAGTTACAGGAAACTCATGTTGGGGCAAGTCCTGGGAAGCCCAGGTATAGAGACTACTGAACTATGAAAGAATGGAGGTGTTGGTCTAATCACAAGGAGCTGTTCAACTCTTAGATTCCCTTTTAAAAATGAATTTCCCATATCCAGAATTCTAACTGGTAGAATAGCAGACAAGAGAGTGGGTTGGGGGACTGACTTTAACACTGGAGAGGAGTAAAAAAGGAAGTAAATTACCTTAAAAATTACCTTTCATAGGGGTTATACAGAAAAAGAATTAAAGAGTGTCCTGAACACGCAATTAGTGGTTGAGTCAGGGAGTCTATTCCTAACTAAGAAGCATATTTGGGATTGTAAATTTAGAAAACAGGCCATTCCCTCACAAGATATAACTAACTAGGAATTGACTACAAAGGCGAGTTAATTCAAGGGGTTTAGCTTTCCTAATGAAACTCCCTAATCAGTGAATTGGTAACTGTTCTTTCTATCTTCGGTGCAAGGCAGTTTATTCCTGTGTTTAATACAGGGCATGCTCTATATATTTCAAATCTTGATTTCCCTCATGTTGAAATAGGAAATGCCTCACCTTTGGGATTGCCGAGATAATTGTCCATTTCTTATTTAAAACATTTTACAGTTGAAAAAAGAAAATAGTGTCCCCTTGAAACAACAAATATGTGAAATAATCATGATCTTTAAGTTTTATTGGGTTTCCTAATGCTGTTCTTGGGATGAATCTTCAGATGAATCATGAGCATCAGAGTTGCTTGTGAAAATGCTGATACCTGAGCACCAGTGGCAGAGAACTGAATTTCACAGGCCTGGAGTGGGACATAGGAAGTGGAATTTTAATGAGAATCCTGAAGGATTTGGACACAGGGAGTGGGTGGATGACATTCTGAGTAACTGTAGTATTTTGGTTGTGTGGTGGGACCACTTTAGTGAGATGTGGGGAGCTCAGTTTTGTTTCAAAGCCAGGTCTGAGATAACATCTCAAAGAGAAGGGACACAACTTCCTATGTCCTCCTTCTCTCTTATATGCCTCGTCCCTCACTCCATATAACTTCATGTAGGCTCAGAGAATGGTACTGACTATGTTTAACTCAATAATTAAAGCTTATATTCAATTAACTTAATTAAAACTATTCTTTAGCCAACATTTTGGTTTTGGGCATTTTGAATTCAGAGTTAATTTTTTTAATTGAACATCATGTAGCTTTTTAAAATAAGACTCTAAAAAGTTTAATTAATTTGAAAATATTTAATTAATCTTGAGACACAGTGTGCTCAAATATTACTGAGTTACCTAATTCTTTCATATACAACAGGGTCAGGTTGACTTTTAAGATACATTAAGAGGCCCTGGGACTTTTAATGCACACTTAGGCAGAAGCAAGAGTGAGGAAGAAAATCATTTTGGAGGCAATGCCTTGGGGTAGCTGTAGTAAATCCTAAGGAGAAACAGAGACCTGAGTTTTGGTTGAAAGTCGACACTAGTTTTCCTGCTCTAAGACCATGGGTGAAACACCTAACCTTTTTTGAGCCAATTTTATCATTTGTAGAATTTGATTTCCTTTTGCTAAATATTAAATGAGTGATGAATAAAAATACCTGGCACTTAGTGGATACTTGACAGATACCATGTTCATTCCATCCTCTTTCTTTTCTTTGCTCCTAGCAAATTCTTAAGCTCTTGCTCACTGCAGCATTTTTTCATGTTTCCACTTGGTGGCAACCGTGCAGGCCAAGCAGCAGAGAAGGAAACCAGGGCCTGGGAGGGACAGTATGGGACAGCGTGGCAACAGCTATGCATCCTCTTGATCATGTCATTCATCTACTGGAATGCAAAGATGCACCTGGGAAGAAAGATCTGAGGAGCTGTTAGTCAGCTTTTCACCGATGCAACCAAATTACCTGACAAGAGTAACTGAGAGGAGGAAAAGTTTGTTTTGGCTCAGGGTTTCAGAGGTTTAGTACGTGGTGGGCCAAGTCCATTGCTTTGGTCCCAAAGTGAGGTAGAACATTATGGTGCAAGGGCATGGTGGAGAAGCAATGATCCCTGTGTGGCATCCAGGAAGCAGGGGTGGGGGAAGGGGCCACAGGGAGGATGAACCCTTTTAGGGCACTTCCCCAGTGACCCACCTAGCCATGTCCCACTTGCCTATAGTTCCCACTCAGTCCATTTAAAGTAGGATGGACTGATTAGGTCACAACTCTCATAATTCAATCATTTCACTTTTGAATATTTCTGCATTAACACAGGAGCTTTTGAGGGACATCTCATATCCAAACCATAACAGAAGTATTTACTGCACATTATTTTCCATACTTCTTAGTCAGCACAGTGTGATTATTTCCTATTAGAGAGTTGAGATTTGAGAATTCACGCATATAGAGATTGGGGTGGAATAGTCAACTTTTGAAATATAGCCCAAGGGCCATGTTCTTTTTATGATAGCAGGCTGCTTCCCCAAGGCACGATGTGTGCCTTTAAAGAACTTGCCCTTTATTAAAAGAGCCAAGATTTGTTGGTATAACAAAAATGGGCTGATTCCTGAGCCAAACAGGGGGCTCCTTACTGGAGATAAATTGATGAACAAAGTGTCTTGGTGGTGTTGGTAATCTAGTGGTACATTAACAAAATCTGCTATGACCTATCTGAACTTGACCTAGTCTGGGGGGTGGAGGGAAGGCTTTCTCCAGTATCAAATGACATTTAAATTGTGTTCTGAAGAATAAGTAGAAGTTAACTAGGTAAGTCAGATAGGATTCAAAGTAGAGAAGAACCTTCTAGGCAGAGGCAATAGATTATGCAAAGGTCCTGGGTAGGCAGGAAAGAAAGGTCAAAGTGGTTAGAGTCTAAAAGTTCAAGAAAAGGATAACGTAAGGTAAGGCAGGACAGACTGACTGGGTGATATCTTGGAAGGTACGTGGAGTGGGGGAGGGATTGAACTGTGATTATAGTTTGCAGTTTGTACAGTTCACTTTAACTTCAGGATAAAGAATGAATTGGAAGGGAGTTGAGTGCAGGCAAGGAGGTCACATTGGAGCATGTTGCAGTAAGGAGTTCAGGTGAAATGGGATGTAGTTTAGATGAGGGAGTTTAGATGAGGGAGGCAGTGTGGCCTGCCAATTCATGAAACCCTAAGAATACCTTTATCACTTACTACTGCTGCAGATTTGTTGCTTAGCATTTCTACTCCCAAGTTTCCATACACACACACACACACACACACACACACACACAAATTATTTAATATACATCATGGGGTTGTTGAAAGGATTAATGTTTTTGTAAGTGTAAAATATATAGAATAATGCCAATCATGTAATACATGTTTAGTAATCATCAGCAATTATTGTCAGCAATGGAGATGGAAAGAGGCTTGGTGGCTCTTTAGATCAAGTCAGCTGGATTTGATAACTTGTGAATGTATGGTTAGAAGGCAAGAGCATCAAGAGAAATGTATTTCAATGTATGTAAATAATATAAACCAGGTGTATATCACTGTGTGGTGGCACAAATTGACCAGTGATAGGAAAGGCTTCTTGAAGGAAGCAGTCATTGAACTGAACCTTAAAGAAAAGACAGGATCTGAACATGCAGGACAGAATTAAAAGGCTCTGGCAAAGGCTGATGGTTTTCAATTCTAATGTTGTTAGGAAATTTGCTTCCATAAAAAGATGCTTTTCATGCCCAAGTATCACAGGATAACTCTGAGAAGTCTGATTTTCTAGAAAGCTGATTTCTTTGTTCAGAATGTTCATAGCAGACACAGCTGGCTACCCACTCAATAGCTATAACCTTTTCTTTCTTACCACATCCTGAAGTTGATCGGCCTGTGATCTACTTGGC